TCATCCTGGGAAAGCCACACTGGATTTAGTGCAGTTCTGTATTTATGCAGGAGTTTGGATGCACTTTTTTATAGAAGTGGACCTTTTCGGTGTTTGTAACACCCTTGTGTGCCTCTTTCCAGGAATTCCCTTCTGAGATATGGGTCTGAAGTGCTTTGGCACTGTATTGTTCCAAGATGCTTTCACAAGGACTTCATACACTTGTTAACATTGCTGTCTGGCTCTTTGCTTTCCTGGTGCCACCCAGGCAGCTCTCAAGAACCATCTGGAGGCACACGGGTCCATGCCCTTTCCATAGAGCTGCACCACCATCAATGTGCCAGTTTTCTGTCTCTCAAAGGACTTGTCCTCCCAGCACACAGTCACATGAGGTAGTTGCCAGCAATGCCATTATACATCAGCAGGGCTGATACCTGTCCTTTCACTTGAATCCTCTCCATCACTGCTGTGACTGCTCTAAGAGCAATCAGCCTGGTCTTGTTGATCCACCTTGAGAGCTTTTCCTCCCTGTGGGCAGGAGACAGCCCTTCAGAGATGCCTCTCAGGAAAGCCACCTGAGCTTGTTTTCCTCAGGTGCAGCTGGAAGTCATTTTGTCCAGGGCAGCTTCAGCTCCCTCCTTTTCCCTGGTCCAGCCTGCCACCTGAGCAAACATCCCTTCTCTCCTTCCCCACCGTGCCAGGCTGTGAGCTAAACCCATAGTCTCTGGTTCATTGCCATTAGTGTTGAGGCTCATGTTTGAGATCACTCAGGTCCCCTCCCAGACATTATTTTCCCCACCTGCTGAGCGTGTCGCCTCCCTCCAAGCCAAACACCAGCTGTGTTGTACCAGCGAGCACAGTGGGTGACTGGAAAGCACATCTCACCTCCTCTCACTGTCCTGCTCTGCTGCATTCCCTCTGGGTTTGTCTTCTGTTTACATCTTGTGAGTAAACTGGTGCTTCTGTCCTGTAATTAATTAAGTCCTTTGGAAAGCATCACTCTTAAACTCCCAAAGCTCGGCTGTGTGAAACACTGCTGGTTTAGGGACTCCTTTCCAGGCTTCTCCCGCACAGCTCATCTGGCAGCTGCCATCTCTGACACAGCCCCTGCCTCAACAAAGCACTTCAGGAGACGCTTAAGTTTAATTCGTGCCCCAGTTCAGTGCAAAGGCAACATAAAGACAGCCGGGTGCCTACGTGCTTTGATGGGGATGCATGGAGGAATTCAGAAGGCTTGGATAAAGCAGAATCTACATTATGAACTTGGTTCAAGCACTGTAAGGGTTGGGAGATTGCAGTAGAGCATCAAACGAAAAATCAAGATCAAGGTAAAATGCAGAAGTAGTTCATAGTCTTTGCAGCTGGATCTGTTTTCTTCCTTATCTTTCTGAAAGTGGTTTCAGCCACAAAACTCACCAGAACTGTATTTACTGGGCAAATAGTAGTTCTTATACTTACAGATTGCGACACATTTGGAAGCACTGTAAAATAAAAAGCCACTAAGGCTGACCTCGGCCTCGGAAATAGGAAGTACCTTGACAAGCATGGTGCTGGTAGAAAGCCAGACTGTAAAGCCCCGAGAGGTTGCATGCAGCCGGTGAGTTGACTTGGGCACCTTGAAAGACAGAGCATGTCACTGAGCTGACACTAAGCCAAATAACTGATAAATTACTGAACCTTTTTCTAGATGCACTTAATTATTGTGTATTTTCTCAACATGAGTTTTTATGAGGGGACTTTTTAAATGTTCATTTTACGATTTTTTTACCCTTTAAAAAGAAATAAATCACTTTTTGTTACATGTGAGTAGGGTTGGGGGGGACATTGTGGATAACGCAGTTTTTGTAATATTGTTAAATACGTTTTCAAAACTAAGATGTGACAAGTCCAGACTTCTACTGCAACAGCAGCATCATGTTTCATACTGCTCTGCTTGCCACTGTGATACTTCAGTGTATTCAAATCCAGCAGTCAGAACCCTGGAAACACAGAAAAGCTGGGGATCAGGTTATATCACCTTAGCTTCGAGGGGCGTGCTCTGTACATACACACCACGTGTATCCTGGTGTTTGTTTAGCCCCGACACTCTTGTCCTACATGCATATTGATGTATCTATAGTTAAGTACATGCTTATATATATATGTGATTATTTGTATATATACTATAAAAACACAGCTATGTTGTCGTTGTCAAATACTGAGTAAATCTAACAGAAAAGAGTTTATAGGAACCCAGTTTTGTTTGTTCATTTAAAAATTTTAAAATGAGGACTGTCCTTGGGAAATTATTTTTCTGTACATAGGAGTATATATTTAGGACCTAATTTAAGAGAATAAAGAGCTGCAGTAAGAATATGTTAAACTAGCCTAGCTGCTTGATATAGTTGTCAAAGGCTCTGCTGTGACCGTAGATGAATTCCTTGTGCTGCTTATAAACCTGCAAAGTGTCACTAACCCTGGATTTAGCAGTCGGTTCTGGGATGTTCAAGCGTTGTGCGAGTGAAGTGAGCTGGTGCTTTCTCTGAGCCCCGTGTCAGACCTGCGGGCAGCAGCTCCTGCCCTCTGCAGGGAGCACATGTGGAAGGAGAGGGCTGGCATGCAGGGGAGTAAGGGACAATGGGAAGAAACAGGGGCAGAGCTAAAAAGCAAGAGCTTTGTGAGCAGCAGGATCTCTGCCCACCCCGAAAATGTGGGAGGGTGTCCACCAGGTGATGGATTGGAAGGGAAATCCCTCCCATCTGTGGTGGCTGCTCCATGGGAATGGCCTCATGGTGTAACCTGCTCTTACCAGGAGGAAGAAGGAAGGTTGGGTGTGGGATCATAGTGATGGTCCAGGAGCTTGGCCAACTGGCTGCCCTGGCTCTCACTCCCTCCTTCCCCATTTCACTACATCTTTCAGGCTCTCCTAGGTTTGCACCACCACACTCACCCTGGGATGGGCTGCTTTTGGAGTGACCACGCCTGGGGTCTGTAGTGTTCATGTGGCCCTAAAAATTACAAAGGCATTATATAATAAGATCTGGCCAAACAGGAGAAAAAGGTACCTCTTTTCTTTCTTTTTTTTCCCCCAGAGAAAATGGGATTAATTTGTATTGTTCCTCTATGTCACATCTAACTGTTCTACAGTAAAACACATACTGTGAAGTTGTCTTCTTTTGGTTTTCAAAGCATTCACAATAGGCATAATGGATAATTATGAATCAGACAGCGCTGCTTCTCGTAAGACAATTCCAACTGTACTTTGCTTGCTGCGAATGTCACATTTCCTCAGCCACACCTGGTTAAATAATTCTATTTTCAGACAAGGTCGTCTTAAGCAAAAGCTCTCAAAATGTGTTCACCTGCTTGAGGAACTGTGCTGCTCCCGAGACTGCAGTCCCCAAGGTGAAAACTGCCAGTACGGTTTTAGGCTGTGCCATTTGTTTGACTCGGATGAGGCTGTAGTTGTGTGAGTGAAATTATGCAAGAATAAATCCTTTTTTTCTAAAAGTCTAACTGTGTACTGTTAAATTCTTGAGAAGAGCTGAAGAAGAGTGATGTGGTGTCAGACACATGAAGGAGATCTTCAGCTGAGTATTTTTGACAAAAGGACTACACAGGCATAAGCAAAGTAATAGTTATTATTTCAGGGAAATAACTTGCAGCATTTAATGTTGTCCCACACGTGGCACTTTTCATCTCTGTAATGCACTGTTTGTGCGGGTTTTGTTTTTCAGATTTGAAAGGTTGACCAAATCTGTAGTAAGATAGCAAAAATAAATTACTAAAAAATAATCATTAAAAAGCTAGCCACCCCAAAACCCCCCAAAACAACTAAAGGCACTTGCTTTACAGGCCGGGTGCCATTACTTTGCGGTATCAGGACTTTACAGAGGCCCTGCTCTGTGGCCAGGCATGCCAGCAGCAATCTTTATGTTGTGGCTCTGGTGCTGAGATCATAGGAAGTCCCATACGGATCTCCTCCCTAATTTTTGTTAATAATTACTGGATTTGGCCAGCTGCCCTGAAGGCAATACTCTGGGTATCCTGTTAAGCAGTGAGTGCCTTTGTCTAGCTCAGCACCTG